AAAAAAAAAAAAAAAAAAAACAGAAGTATATCTCAAAATTCAATAGAAACTCCAATAGAACAAACGAAAGTTGGATATCTCAAAATCCAATAGAAACTCCAATAGAACAATGATTCCACTGAAATATTTTTGTTTGAATTTCTATTAGAATTTTGTTAGAAAATTCAGACGATAGAGATAACATTAGAATATCCATTTAAATTGCATTTGGAGTTTCACTGAAATAACATTTACATTGGAATTTCATTCTTTTTTTGAGTGGTGATAGGGCATAAACTAGTGTTTAAAAAACACGTGTGGTCATCAATGTATGGTCCACACATACATGATTGAGAATCTAATGTTTAAGTCTAATGTTGAAAAAACACGGGTGGACAGGGTTAATGGATTGCAAATCACCACTGTTCTGCTCTATTATATATTCATACTCACACTAGCTACACACACCCTCCTCACTCTTCCAGACTACACAATTATAACTCCACAAAAACCACATGACAGATCCTAACCCGCTTCTTTCCCTAACTGGGTCACCGGAGCCCAATGATCTGCCGCCCCCAACCTCCGATCACCTCAACACGGCGAATTCCTTGGATGCCACCATCGAGCACTGCATGGGCGACTTTGCGTGGGCTCAGCTCTTCCAGGCCGCTCTCATCTCCTTTGCCTGGTTTTTCGACGCCCAACAGACCTTCATCAGCATCTTCACCGATGCCGAGCCCAAGTGGACCTGCAACAATTCCTCATCCTCCACCGCCACATCAACACTTCCTTGCAATGACCTCTGCCGCCTCCCGCCTGGCAGCTGGTCCTGGCAGCTCCAAGCAGCGTCTTCCATCATCTCCGAGTGGTCCCTGCAGTGCTCTGGGCCCATTGTTACTGGACTTCCCTCCTCCGCTTTCTTCTTCGGCTGCCTCGTTGGCGGTTTCGCCATGGCGGCTCTAGCCGACTCCTCCCTCGGCCGCAAGAACGCGCTCGCCCTCTCATCTCTCATCATGTCTATCACCGGTTTGGCCGCCGCCTTCTCCCCAAATGTGTGGGTCTACGCGGCCCTCCGGTTCATGAGCGGGTTCGGCCGTGCCACCATTGGGACGTCCACCCTCGTTCTCTCTACCGAGCTCGTCAGCCGGCGGTGGCGGGAGATTGTCGGGATCGCCGGGTTCACCTTCTCCACCCTCGGCTTTCTCTCTCTGCCGCTGCTCGCCTTCGCTATCCGAGGCTCGTCGTGGCGGCTGCTTTACCTCTGGACTTGCGTCCCATCGATTCTGTACTCGGCCGCAATCTACTTGGTGGTGCGAGAGTCGCCGCGATGGCTCTTCATTAGGGGCCGGCAGGAGGAGTTTGCTGAGACGCTGAGGAGCATCTCGGGCACCACCACGCTGACAGGGAGCTTCTTTAGCCGGTGCGCAGTGGAGAAAGGATTGGCGGAGGCCAATGACGTGTTCTCAGCCCTGAGGGTCTTGGTGGGGAGGGGTTGGTCAGCGCGGCGGCTGGGGGCGGTGATGGTGGTGGGGTTCGGGATAGGAATGATTTATTACGGGATTCCCCTTGGCTTAGGAAACTTGTCTTTGGACCTGTATTTGAGTGTGACACTGAATGCATTGTCTGAGTTCACAGCGTCCCTGGTGACGCTTGTGTTGATGGGGAAGGTGGGAAGAAGGGGTTTCATAGTGGGGCTGGCGTTATTGAGTGGGGTATGCAGCGTGGGGTGTGTGGTGGTTCAGTGGAGAGTGGTGCAGGTAGGACTTGAGCTGGTGTCATTTTTCGCAGCATGCACAGCTCTCGAGGTAATTCTGATTTACGCGGTGGAGTTGTTCCCAACTTGCGTGAGGAGCTCGGCAGTGTCGATGGTGAGGCAGGCACTGGTGCTGGGTGGGGCACTTAGCCCGTTGCTAGTGGCGGCCGGGAGGAAGAATGAGCTGGTGTTGTCATATGGGGTGTTCGGGGTGACAGTCGCAGCCTGTGGAATGGCGGTGGTGGCCCTTCCGGAGACAAAGGGGAAGGTTCTACGTGACACCATGGAGGAGGAGGAGGAGGAGGAGCGGGTTGGGACCCACCAGGTGTATTGCGTTTGAGAATAAAGACTAGTATGTAACTCGAGCTATGCATGAGTTATATTTATTTTGAGATTATTATAAATTGAAGTCTATTAATAAATAAAAGAATGATAATATATAGGGAAATTGTCAAATCATAATATGTTCGTCGTGAATAAATAATATATTATCAAAACTTCATTGTACACAAAATTATGAGTTTTATTTTCGAGGAATTTGTCGTCCCCACAAACTAATATTTTCAACCTCTTTTTTTTAGTTATACTTGAAATAGCAACATATAACTGGTTGTTACTAAATAACATTTATTCCTTTAAGATCAAACCAACGTGCGATAGAGACTAACTCTAACTCTTATTTATGGTCATGATATACAAAACCATCGTTGGATCTTAAATGGAACTTGAAGTCGGAAAAATTTATTTATAATCTGATAATTTAAATGGCAATTTAACAAATGAGCTGTTAGTATATCATTTTAATATCTATTATATTTTATTAGAGAAATAATATTTACTAATATTTTTATACATTTTTATCATTAATTTCTTACGCCCATGAACGATAACTACTATTTTATATTATTTTATATTAAATATATTTTATTAATGTATAAATAATTAATTCATTATTTTTAATTGGTATTAAATAATAAATTTTAATTTATTTTATATGTGCAACCAAATAATAAATATAATAGTACTTTAAACATATATTTTTTGAACTATAGATGTAATATGAGTGTCAAATGAAGTTTGTCAAACAAATGGTAAAATATTTAATCAATAGATTTAGATCAACGGTTGATTTCACATTAACTAAAGCAAAAAATCGTGTATTATATATAATACTCACACAAAATATTTGTTAATAATAACCATATTGATTTCTTGGAAATTAAATAACTCATTTTAGTTTTTTTTTTTTTATGTACCAATAACTAAAAGAATCCATATATTAAAAAGATATTGTATTTAGATAATTATGGACAAAAAATTCTTAAGAAATATATTTCATATTTTTTATTTAACAAAATTAATGGGAATAGTCCAATATAATTTGGGATAGTTTTCAAACTTTTAAAAAATGTGTTGCACTTATATATAATAATTAATTAATTATGAACAAAAAAATCTTGAAAAAAGTTAGGCAAACATGATCCTTAACCACAATTACATGTTTTATTGTTCCAAAAAACCTTAACCACAATTACATGTTTTATTGTTCCAAAAAAATTCAAAAAAAATTACACATTCGGTTGTAGGCGGAATTTTTCAAATTTTTTAAAAAAAATGGTTTTAATATTTTTTTTTTTAAAATGGTTTCAATTTCTAAGACTTATCTCTCGTGCGATGCATGGTAATAACATAACTATTGTTTTTATAAATTTAAAGTGGGGTTGAACAGATATAATATTATTAATGTTGCATTTAAAAATTAAACATGGGGTAGGCATATTTTGTATATATGAGATAACTAAAAATTAATATGGTGGGATGGTTGAAAAAATATATCATTAAAATGAAGAAAAAAAAGGTTGATACTCAATTTTTGCAATATAATTTAGACTAATATATTCATTTTTTACTCCATATAAATGGTAAATTTGTAAAATATGATAAAAAATAATGCATGCCAGCATTAGTATAGAGAAATGCTATAGGTACATAATATTGTACATAAATGTGCACTACAAAAAAACACTACAATTCCAACGGCAAAAATTTCTGTTGGAAATTTCAATGAATATTCCAACAAACTTAATTTTATGTTGGAATGAGTGTTGGATAGTTGAGGAATTCCAACGGATTTTTTCCGTTGGAATAGCTGTAGGAATTTATTTCCATAGGAATTTTCGTTGGATATTTGCTATTCCAACGGCCATTTTTCCAACGGATTTATATACGTAGGAATATTCGTTGGAATAGCTATTCCAACGGATTTATAAAAATTCCAACGGAAAATTTCCGTTGGAATGTAAGAGTTTTTTTTGTAGTGGTATACATAACACTCACATTGAGTGGGACCGACCAAAAACAAAAAATCAAGTGGATCTCATTCCATGTGAATATCATGTACACCTCTATGTACGTTTATTATGTACTTGTAACATTTTCTTATATATAATACATATTTGTCTCAAAAATAATTTTCAATACTTTTTTATATAGGGTAAATGACATGATTATGAATGATTAATAAAATAAAAAAGTTTTACAACCGACTTCTACTGTAGAATAGTGTGTTGATTGATCGAAAAAAGTGTACATTTTTAATATTTATAAGCGTATTTTTATATGCTTATTTTATCATTTTTTTATATAGTTTCGATTAATACGAAAATTTCACAATCTGATTTGTTATACCACAATTACCTGAACTGTTGGACCGCTCCTTTTCGAACCAGGTTACGTCTCCTCGATCGCCGGTACCTATAAAACACGCCGGGGGTGGTCCCGGCGCGAACACTCCGACGCTCAAGTCAGTGGCGGTCCAAAGAGTAAACGACAGAGTAACGAGACAACAAGTATATGTATGTTGTGTAAAATGAATGAACCTGCTCCTTTTATAGGAGAAGTTTGAAGAGTCCCCATGAGACAAGAAGTCTTCTTCATATAAACCACTTAATTAGGTTAAGGGTCTTCTGAATCCCAAGAGTCCTTGTTGCTATTAACTCCTTCGTAACTTGATCACCAAGCCTCCCTTCAGGTTCTAGCCTCTTCGACGGCACACGAGGGCCGCCGAGCACACGAGGGCCGCCAAGTACACGAGGGCCGCCGA